AGCCCTAATATCAAGAAACACAACGATCGTTGGCCTGCAATACGTGTGGCGGTGTTCCAACAACTGACGAAGGGTGAACACATGATCAATGCATCCACGACCTGAACGAAACCCAGCCTGCTCTTCGCGAATCAATCCTTCACGTATTTTGCACAGTCTGCGAAGCAAGACAGCAGCCAATATTTTAGACGCGACTGGTAACAGACTGATACCCCTATGATTGTCACACGAATTACGTCGACCCTTTTTAAAGATGGGGACGATAATGGCTTCGTTCCACATTGATGGTACACTCTCTGTCTCCCACACCTTCCTGAACAACCCAGTTAGAGCCATTGTGAGAGTCTCGCCACCATCTTTAAAAAGAGCCGGGGTTAATTTGTCTGGGCCGGGCGCCTTATGGCGTTTCAAAACTTGGAGTTCCTTACGGACCTCCGCTTCGGTGGGTGGGTCGGTACTAACCGACCAAGGAGCACTCGGGCTAATGATAGTAGACACTGAAGCTGGTGGCCAGCTAAACTGCTTCCCGAAGTGCTCTGCCCAGCGTTCCAGGCGTCTTTTCAGGCTGGTAATTGGAGTGCCATCTGCCTCACAGACCGTCTCGCTGACACCTTGTTTCTTGCTGCCGGTGGCTCGTATGAGTTGGAACAGCTTCCGACTGTTGCCAGATGCAGCAGCTGACTCCATCTCACACGCACGTTCTGACCACCAGGCTTCGCGGTCCTTACGTAAACACTGTCTAATCTTGCGCGTGAGCGCCTTTCGCTGATTGTTGTATTCGCTGCCAGCCGGAATGGACCGGCGTTCATCCAGGAGTTGCAAGGAACTCGCAGAAACCCAGTTGTTTTTAGCGGAGCATTCTTTCAAGCCGCAAGCGGCTACACTCGCCTTTTGCATGGCACCTTGCACATGAAGCCAATGTTCATCTATACTACTTGGGGGGTTGCTGGCAAGCATTGTTTTTAACTCATTCTGATATTTCAAAGAAGTAGCAGGTGCTACTAGTTTGCTCACATCAACGCTTAGAAAACGGCTTTTACGAACCCCACCAAATCGCAAGACGAACTTGGCACACACTAACGCATGATCGGAGTCCAGGCATGTGCTCCAGAAGGAGCGACAGTCTTGTATGCATCCTCGCCACCGGAAACTGACCGCAATATGATCAATCTGAGTCCAAGCTTGCTTCGCAGAGGGAGGACGCCAGGTAGCGCTACGGCGATGGCTGTGCCGGAAGTTGGTGCTGGCTAGAAATAGGTTGTGATCCGCGCAAAGCTGCAGAAGACGGTCCCCATTATCTGACCTGCGACCATGTAGTCCCCACTGACCACCTAGACGATTCTCCTCTGAGCTTAGACGCCCGACCTGTGCATTCAAGTCCCCAGCCAGCACTACGATATCCCTCCGACCCGCCTGTTTCAAGAGATCGCTCAGTTGGTAGTAAAACTCATCCTTCATTGCATCCGGGCTGCAATCCGTCGGTGCATAGGCAGAGACAACAAATAGACACCGCCTATCTGGCCTACTACCCCTTACTTTCGTATAACCTTCCAGCCTCACAGCACATAAACGATTGTTGATAGGAATCCAGTCGAGCAATGCAGCTTCGGCTCTAGCGCTCAGTGCGACACCGACACCAGCTACGCCGGATTGAATTTGGAACAAACGAGTATTTCAAACGATCGTCCAGGAATTACCAAATCAATATTCTGTTCAACTAGGCTAGAATGCAACCGTATATGTGGTATTTGGTTCAGCCACTTATTTGGTAAAAGCCATTTTACAGAAGTGATTATTCAGCTGACAAATTTAGTTAAAATCCTGAATGATTTGAAATTTCGGATTTTGGTGGGCATATTTAGATTGAATCTCAGGGAAGACATTAAATCAATTATATCTTACATCTATAAAATACTATTCGTAACCAATACTCACATGCTTTTCTTAAATAGCTTTTAACCTACGCTTATGCATTTTTAGGAGAAAGAATATCCTGATGAATTGGATCATGTTTTGAGTCGAACAATAATATTATGTCAAATTATCTAGTACTACAGATAATTATTTGATTAAAAGATATTGTGAGTGGAGAAAATATTACACCAATAAATACACTGGGGATTTTGTACTGCATATACAAACAAACTATTCACAAGAAGGCTATCGTCACTATTATTACTACTGATGATGAACCATTAAGTAGTATATTAGTATATTAACACCGTAGGTCCAAACAAGATAACATAGGAACTGGATTGTTAGATGAAAATCTATCCTTTATTCAACTGTACAGAAATTAGCCGAAAAATTCAGTAGTCAATCGACTTGGTAATTATTTTTGAAATCAGGAATTAAAATCCTCAGGAGACAGGATGAATAGTACTCTCTGTGTATAGTTGTAGTTTGATGAGTGCTACTTATAGTTAGATATTAGTAGTATATCAGTAAACGGATTCAGAAATGTAACGACATATTTTGACCACTGCAAAAAGCAGTCGAAGAAGAGAACTGTGAGAATAACATTACAAACACTGTGCTGAGTCCAAAAAGCTATCGAATGTGGTAGGCGTCGTTATCACAGCGGTAGTGATTCGGCGTTCGATCCCCGACCGACACACTCCATTACTCCGCTAAGTCAGTAGTAAAACTGGTAAAGAAAGAAGGTTGGGCTTGAGGCTAGCATCCCTCATCCGGTAAAAATAAACACCACTCTGCTACCGAAACTTCAAGCCTCTAGCTTGAAGCTGTGTGTTCCACTGGGAACGCAAAGGATTAAAAAAAATAGTCCAATATGGTGATATTCGACCAATTTACATATGATGTGCAAATGAAGCATTGAAGATACGGTATACCAAATTTATGTGTCTACAAAACGTTTGTCTTAACAAACATAGCCGTCGAGCCTTATCGGTCTTTTCTCTTTTACAGTGGCTATTGATATTGTAGTCATCCATGTAGTAAGAACAAGATTACTTGTGGTATGTAAACAAAACGATTAATTCTTTTCAATGATTTTAAAGATACTCATTTTTCTTTACGGTGGATAAAAGCGATTATTAAAGTTTACAAAAAGAGCGCTACATAAGCCTTCACATTTACAATACAACAAAGTCTATATAATGTCAATGACCAACTCATGTAATCCACTCACAGCATTGTATAGTTGAGCAGCGATTAATTAAAGATGCATAATGTGACCAAGATGACCAGAAAAGATCAGAAACAGGGAGGGATCTCTGGCAATGAGTGAACCAACCCAGCAGGAACCGATTGTGAAACAAATAGGCAGGAGGTGGATTGGCTGGCCATACTCTGAGGAAACCATCAAGTGACATCACTAGACAAGCCACTGCTCGAGTAAAACCCGAAAGGGAAGTGGGTGGCGAGTTGGTCGTCATCGCAAGGGTGACTTGAAGCAGGTCATGTGAAGAGGAGATGAAAGCATGTGGGCAGACTTGGAGCGGGGTGAAAAAGTTGGCAGAAAACAGAAGGCAATGGAGGTGCGCAGCTGAAGCCCTATATTCCTCTAGGAATTAAAGGATAAAATAATAATAATAATAATGTGACCAATTAAACATGGTACTGTTTGCCTTGATGTATACTTTTAGCCATATATCATCTACTTACATCAAAGGATTACCACCCGCAAAGGAATATTCATAATCTAACTACACTATTTTATATCATTCGATAAGCTTATTTAATTCAAAACAAAAAAAAGAAGATAGGAATACAATATAAACAATTCTATTATATACACAACAATAACACATATGAATGAACACACACGGAAAAAGAAAACCCTACAGACTAAGAACAACATTCTTTTTTTTGGGCTTTCATAAATATCCATAAGGAAATAAATTCAGAAACAAACAAATAAAGACGATAAAAAAACACACACACAAATTAATGCAAAAATGATTCATGAATAACAATCTCTACAGACTGTTTTTTTTTCTACTTAAATGCTTATCAGAAAGTGAAAAAAAGACAAATAGGTAAACACTAATGTGCAAAAACAATTACTCAAATGAGAAACAGGAGATAAACCCCCCCACACACACACACACACACGCATACAGAGGTGAATCTAAAGTACACCACTGCCTGTCCCTTCCCCAAAAATAAAAAAACAGCCGGAAAAAAGTGACTGTGTACAAGCGAAATTTGAATTTAGACTAGAAAGCAATGAAAAGAAGAATAAAAAAGGAATAAAAGTCAATTTTCGCATATATAATACACGTTACAGTCAAAAACAGAACCTGATCAGCACCACACACATAACTTTAACCAACCATAAAAAGAAGTAGAAGTAAATACTACAGAATACGAGACTGAAACTGCATTCACACTGTAAGTTATTATAATTACTTGTCAAAGAGAAAGCAAGCCAGAAGGAAAAAGGATATGCTATATGTATGTAATTAACTTAACTGAGGCACTGAAAGAAAAGAACAAACAAATCCATACTACCCTATTATAGTATATATGCAGTTGTAAAAATTCTCCTGAATACTTTTCCCGTTTGCGCAAAATGGATTAGCCATTTCACAAAATAAGAAGAAAAAATAGCATTAGGCATAGTGATAAAATTGAACATTTTACCACTCACACACACAAAATGCATCATGAACAAAATATTCTGAAGCAAAATATAAATAAACTACTTATTTTGTATTTAAGTAGTTGAAGAGAAATACATAACGAAACTAATCGCAATTGGACATTTTCAGTTACAACAATATTTGGTTTATAAAGTACAAGCAAATAAGAAAAACAGAATAAAAGGGGTTGGAAAAGAACGGATAAAATCTGGTTGTATATATATATATATATATATATATATATATATATATATATATATATATATATATGTATATAAGAGGGGTATGATATAGATTAAAATTAATGTTATTGTCTAGATGTATATGAAACAATTCATCATACAATGTGAATCATCAATCACAAAAATCAAAGACAAATAAATAATTAATTAATCAAATAAAACAACTAGGTGTCATATGATCAAGAATCCAATCGGCTGCAGGTTCCAACTGCCAATTGAATGCGCTTATTATCTCACAACATGAATCCCAGTTAATTAAACCTAATTGATAAAGACGACATACTGATAGTAGACGTACAGCTAATTGTACACGCCAAGCACTAGTTCTATCCAATCTAGTTCTCCAAGTTTCGATAGGTGAAGTATGCGGAATCGGGGGTACAATTAATTGGGGTATAATAGGAGAAAATGGATTCATTACATGTAATAAAGCCCAATGAGCTTCAGATGAAGTACAACCGGGTACTTGAGAACAAACAAGAGAAATCTGAAAAATAAACAAAACAAAAAGCAAGTGTAAGTATACAGTCAATCAAATATGAAATTAACCTTAACCCTAGAAAAACGTACAATTTGAATATCAGTCTCCAGCTCACCGAACAGATAACTGAAACTGTAGTCAGAAGTCCACCATGTCAAGGTGAAGTGGAGACTCATCAAAGTACTGTTAGCATTATATCACAAACTGAATAAGTTAGAATTCACAGGTCATTGGATTACTTCTCAAGTGACTAAATGGTTGGTAGACTTGATCTCATGACTTGAAGGTTCTCAGTTAGATCCTTGGTGGGGTCGTGGGTAAGCCCCGCTGAAGGATACCGAAATAGGACGAAACAACTATCCAATGCTCCCTAGTTTGTAATGATCTCTAACTGATGTTGGTTATTAAGGAAATCTATATCGAAGTCCAGATCCTTGTACAGACCCACAATCTAAATATCAATTAACAATGATATCTCGATATCAGATTTACGGGAAAAGGGAATCAGACAAGAAAGTTTCATTTTTGCTTATCTTACTCTAGTGAACGAACAAGAAAAAATTAAAAAACATTGATAGACAGATCAGATCTGAAATTACAACACCGGTTATCCATCAACACACTAAAGATGTATAGAAACATTATTCAAAAGAGTTACTGCAGAACTTCTGCCTTGCAGATCGTCTTACAGAAGAATGGCATATTTCCAAAATCACCGCTAGACTATTAAAGCCTTTAGGAATAGATGTCGCCTATAAAGTAATACGGTCAGTGTATTCCACACTACGTAGATTAAACAAATAAGGGGAACAAAACGGAGAAATACACTATACTGTTCAGAGAGAATATTCCCATTATTTTCTCATTATAGAACACTATAGAACACTATAGGACACCCTTCAGTAATGGGGATCTAAGGAGCTATATACGATTCATTTCAAGACCTTAAAGTTGCGTAGTATACAGATTAACTCTCAACCATTGGATGTGAGTGTAACAGCCTCTAATGTTCCAGATTATATGCTTTTGAGACGGAGTGCTTTCATAATCCCATGGCAACTGTGGTTGACTGCGCTTTCACATTCAACGTAATAATAGATCCAACTGATAACACTTGTAAAATTAATCTCGAAGCTTATTTCTAACACAAACTGAGTGTCTTTTCGTTTGCCAGGTTTACAAGGAGGCGGGGGGGGGTCAACTAATTTCAGGATGACTCTTGCTATGATACACCATTTTCAATGCTTCCTGGAGGAAATCCCCGTTTGAGGAGATTTCTATGGCAGTGCCTGTCAGTGAAGCGGGAGAAATTACACTACCAAGTTATTCCGATACACATTCTGAATTAGAAAACTAGTAATTTAAAATACAATCGATAATTCTTAATAAGTAGAATGTGTTATAGGAATCTTAATATAGTCAGCTGATTGTCACATGTCTTCTTTTCTTTTAACTTCATGATCATTGTTCATTGTCATGGATTAATGCGGAGAAACAAAAAAAGAAAAAATGATACTTACTTCTTTGTATTCACAGTTCAATTTAACTGAACTAAGTAAAATATTAATGAAGCCGTAATTAACTCTTTAAAAATTGGTTTATTATTTTCTACAAGTTACTTAACTTCGACATGATATTCAACAGTTAAGCATTGAAAAATATTAGAGTTTGTTAGGAAATAATCGATCATCAGTTAGAAAGCTCATGTAACTATCGATAGAGATTTCGTCCTCCTCCTCTTCAAGTATGTGTGTGTAACCATGATTCTGTGAAGAATTAAACCCAAAAAGTTTTAAATAACAACGGAAACCAATCATCATTCAGTCAATGAAAAGAAGTCCATTGTCTTCTAATGAGATCAGAGAAGTGTGTCCCTCTGACAAGTCTGAATGAAAAGAAAGCTGCTCAAGGCCTTTCTGGTTTTAAAGAGTCCTACAATAGGTAATACAGTGGTTAGGACTCTCGCCGATCATGCACATGGTTCAGGGTTCGATCCCCTCCTGACGCTCGACCGATATCTATGGTCGGCCTGCAAAATTTGGGCTACCGATATCATATACTGAAAATGCCATACTTGTACCGAAAATACAGTGTGGCATCAAGTTGTAAGCAAAATTTTAAAAAAATAAAATATATTTTTTTCGATAAATCATGAATAACTAAAAATTGAAGTAATCAGGCGAAGTATATCATCAAGATTAGAGCAAAATTATCCAGCAAAGTTAAACTATCATAGGCAAAATCACAGTGATCTTAAACAACCAATTTAAAATTCAAATGCAAAAAAGTCTCATAATCGTTGAAAAATGCACTTAAAAACATTGCAAACATGATATTACACAATGTCTCTCAGTCAAAACACAGTTGATGTGCAGAGAAATCATACCATGCACTATAGATGCATTCATTCAGATGACTGTAAGTCATGGTACTTTGAGACTTATTGATATTTCTGACACTTCTTTAATCTACTCCTAACTTTGAACATAATCTTAATTTTGACTATAATCATAACCTTTACCCCAGACCCTAAACGTTAATCTAAAGATCCATAAACCCTATCTAACAGAGTAGATCTACAGAAAAAGTACCTAGTGAATGAGTGCAATACTCTATCTACCTTCAAAAATGTGGGCATAATTTAATTTGGAATAACGTTTCATAGCATTCGCTGTATCTTATTGGATCTTGAAGATTAACTTTTGAAAGGACCTTGAGCTTTGGCTAGATAATATAAAACTTTCACTTCATCAAACTTCATCTATCTAATACTTTCCTAACTAGAAGAATATGGACGGATAATGGATAAATCACTCTGTGATTACATTTACTGTCAGCAATGCTTATCTCAATCTAATCACTCCGACAATTATTATGGTAATTACAAGGGGACAATTTTATGGTCCATTTGTGACGTTAAAGAATACATACACATATAAATAAGTCAGAAGGCGAGAGGATGAAATGAAAGGAAAGAGAATTTCACTCTCTTCCCTTTGTCATATATATATATATATATATATATATATATATATATATATATATATATAATCCATCTAACGCCCACAAATTCCATATTTATCTCAAAATGAAGATATACCCTTTTTCCTGGGAGAATATATACATATAAGGAAAGCGATCGATAAACTAAAAGGAACGTGAAAAGAGAGAGGAGGAGAAAGGGAGATAAGAGGTAGGACGAATAATGTTAATAATAATAATAATAAGACATTTTTACTTTCATAATACAGAGGATGCATTGAAATTCAAAATGTTAAAATTAACATTTATATTACTTGAATGAGTAAGTAGAGTATTCAAATGACTGAGTATAGTAAACAAACAGGATTTAATGAACTTCATAGTTGACAAGTTATCCTTAAATATTATTAGTTAAAAAGTTGAACGGATCAGCGTAAACCTTCACACCAAAGTGTATTACAGTTAATAATAATAATAATTTTCGATGCATAGAAATCAATAAAGCTGATCAAAACTTACTTCATCAGTGAAAATGTCTACAGAATTGGAGAGTTTAGGGTGATTTTCACTTTCTTGAGTTTGAGGTTGTACATCTGGAGAGAAAAATTGAAGGAAATATAAACAAAACCAAAAAAGAAATATACTGAATAATATATCACGTCTCGCTCACCACCAGTGCGTTGTTGGCATAGTGGTTAAGACGCTCGCTGACCATGCACATGGTCTGGGTTCGATCCCCGGCCACAGACGCACTCCTTTACCTCGCTAAGCCAGAAATAATGCTGGTAAAGAGGAAATGTTGGGAATGAGGCTAGCAACCCCATCCTGTAAAACAAACACTGGTACAGAAACTTCAAGCCACTAGCTTGAAGCCCTATGTTACACTGGGGAACGTAAAGGAAAAAAAATACTGAATAATATTGCTTATTATGGTACAACGCTCACAAACGAATACGTTCGATAGATATACTTAGGACCTTCGATTGACATTTTAAGCGTGTAGGATAGATAGTCTACACTCAGAAATATTACATTAGATTCGACTACTGTTGATATGAATGCACACTTACTCAACTGTTGTCACTTAAGGGAATATTAGTCTGAACTTTGGTCACATTCCTTACTACATAAGCCTGGCTTCCTCTAATTTTGTTAAAACATCCTTCTAAAAAGATTAGTGTAAGGAAGTTAACTGCTTCCAGTATTACAGATAACCAAACAGTTAAGCTAGATATAAGGCTAGCTAATAATGCTTCAGAAGGTATACACCAATGCCGACAGCACCTACAAGATATGCTATGAAGATGACTAGTGGAAAATAAATGTACAAACTATCCTAATAACAATCAACCAACGGGTTAATAGTATATCATTGTATCAACAAAGTGCTGAATAGATTTACGAGATCGCCAGTTATACTCACAGTTAACAACAAGAAGTAGTCAAAAACTTCAAGTGTGGTGAGAGATGACTGCTAGCCAAATTGGTAGACATTAATTTACGTCAACGTTTATGTCCCAAATATTAGTCATGTAAAAACAAGAACAAAGATTGACAGTAAACTTTGCGTAGGCGGATACAGATAGCGAATAGATGATCTGACATTCAAGAAACAGCCACAAATAGATGAAGGATTAACTTTTAGTGAGAAACAACCAATCAGAAGACTGTGTTTTTCTGCTAACAATAATCTATAATATGTACATGAAAATTTATAAATACGTGTTGATTTCCTTAATAAACGATCTGTTGTCTGACTCTTGTCTTCTGTCGTTACACAAATAGTTATGTGAATGATGTGAGTGATAAAATTTATAACCATGTACCGTAAAGAGCGGCAGAATATGTCAATAGAACAGTAACAAAATTAGGTTAACCAAAAGAAAAAGCAGATTTAAAACATTTCAGTGAGCAAAGTCTTATCAAACTCCTGTGAAACACAACCTCTGGCTAGGGGTCGCGCTATGTCGTGAAATGGCAGAAGTTAGAATTCATGGGCCATTGGATCGGGTCCCAGTGACTTAATGGTATACGAGCTTGCCTTGTAACCAGAAGGTCCTGGATTCGAACCCCGGTGGGTGCGTACTGCTGAGGAGTCCCAAACCAGGACGGAACACCTGTCCAGTACTCCCAGGTTTCCCAATGGTTCTCTAATTGATGTCAACTCATGATGAAATCTTCCAACCAGTCAAACAAAAATCCCTACAAACCATTACTTGAACAACCTCTCTGAGCTGGGCATACCGAGTTTGCATTCGGTAAGTGTTCGGGAGTATTGACGGTTGTCTGTCAGTGGATGTAGCCAACTTATAAAGTTCTTTTTAGCGCCTCGTACGTGCGTTATGCATATCAAAAGAACAACTCCAACACATATCACAGTTTCTTAGCTCTGTAACTGACTAGAAGCAGCTGAAAATAAAGTCATTATATTGATGTGGTGCAGTGAGGTGGACTACCTGAGGAGCAGTTACAATCAACGTCGAAAAGATACGTTGTGTTTTACAATGACAGTCTGTGACGACAGTTACCAAGTAGTCTTTTACCAATTATCAAAATAATCCAAGTAACGTTACACTGAAAGATTTTATACACCATAATTAAACCTAGTTGATGAGTTTTGAAGGATTTCTTGTAATACATAACCGATAAGTACAAAAATTAAAATTTATCCTAATCAAAAGAGAGTAGTGACACGGTTCACTGGCTTAGGCATTCGACTCCTAGCTAATGCGTTCAATCCCTCAACTTCAACCAGAAAAAAAGTGGATAGTACCACTTGCTCTCAAACAGTAAATATGGATCATAGTCTGGAACATGAGTCTGAACTAACCAACTAAATAAATCTAATAAAGAACATAAATGCATGACACTATACACCACTGTATGATAAATCGATACGAATAGTTGTAAACCACTCACACCCACCAGCTATCCTTAATCAATCAGATCGACCAGACAGTTGTTTCATTCGTTTGGTGCCGAGCTCATCGGGATTGTACTCAGAGTGACTCAGCTCAGATAACTGAATCAGTTGAAACCACTGGAATTCTAGCTAGCTACTTGGATGAACTGGTTTCCCTCGATAGCAGTGGCCCTCCGATGTTTATATCTGGTTAGCAAGCACTTCTACTCACACGGAAGAATCGGCTGTCATCTATGGTATCAAGTAGACCGTATATTGCAATGTGAATAATTTCTGTTTCCGAAAAGAAACTATGACACGATTTCACCTCCAATTAAGCAAATTTCAAATCGCAGACAAATTTGCGCAATTGAAAATTTGATGAAATGAAGAAAAATTTAAAAAGAAAACTACGACATAACTTGTAGACAGTAAAAAAAAATTCTGATTATTATTTGACATATTTTGTTGAATTAATAAAAAAAGAAAACAGGCTGAAAACTGATGATATTTCATGAAACCAAGCAAGAATTTAAGTCAAAGATAAACACACACACACACAGCACTTAAAAAAATTAGCTCCAATAAAATAAGATATACAAAAGACTGATGTCTTTATTAACTGATCCAATTAGGAAAAATTGAACTTAAACAAAATCATGAAAACATCAATTTTTTTAAATATAAGTACAATACACCACCCTGTAGAGTCTTACAGTTTTACGCTAATATGAATTCATTCAGCTTGATACTTGAACAACTAACCAAAATGAGCGTGTTTATAGCATACGTATATTTGTTTAGAGTAAGAGGGAAGGAAGAAATATATGGCGAATTCTATTCATCATTACACACAGTATGAGGTACAGACAGAAATATTAAATAAAGTTTTTTTTAAAAACATGTCAATATGGTAAAAAAATTGAAAAAAAGAGTCATGATTTAATCAAAATAAGTCTGATTACATAAACAGTATAAATAACTCACCTGAAATTGTATCACTTTGGACAGGGATTCCAACAGATGGCTATAGATGGATATAGACAGACAGAAAAGACAAGAATGAAAGAAAGAATTATATATATATATATATATATATATATATATATATATCAGTTAAAACTCCAATAAATATGATATAACATGTATGACGATGCCACGTGAAATTCAAATTTGCCTCCAGGGGAAGCATATCACCTTCAATTTGCACAAATTTATTCATGTTTGTAAACTTATCTTTGATAAATAGGTTAAATGATAGTTAAACTAAAGAAAATAGAGGTAAGAAAAGAAAAAAAGTGTAGACTCTGAAGTTAGTTTAAAAACCGGTTGAAATCACAGTTTTGTCTTATTGATATAAGTATACAACTTGGACACTGTGGTGGTAGAGCCTAACTCCATTATAGATAAGATTTCATTTTGCTAAATCACACAGTGTTATACAGTAATATTAACTGATGGACCACCTTTCGAGCACAAACTATTGCTCATTATCATATCGAGTCACTCACACAACTTTTTTACTTCATTTATATACATAAGTGGAATGGATTAGATATTTGAATAAAAATCACACGTAGGTGAAGAGAGAGAGAGAGAGGTTGATTACTGAATCCTGCCTGGTTCATCGAGTCTACACACCCAACATATGCAACAGAAATGACTCAAAGCAAATACCAGAGATATGGAAGATATTATTACCACCAGTCGGTCAAATCAGAGGAGGATGATAAATAATCTTAAAATTCTATTTCATTCAATTCACGTACATCATAACATTCTTACAGGTTACTTATTTTGACCAGAAAAACACTCGTCTTATTTCCCATCTGATTGTACTTGATTAATAACACTAATATTATTTCTGAATGTACATTATCATCTACTGATTTTTATTCAAATGTCTAATCAATTCCACTCATGTATATAAATGAAGTAAAAAAAAGTTGTGTGAGTGACTTGATATGATTATGAGCAATAGTTTGTGCTCGAAGCATGGTCATCAGTTAATATTGCTGTATAACACTGTGGGTGACTTTATCAAAATAAAATCTTATGTATAATGGAGCTCTGCTGTCAAAATTTGTCAACTCGTATATTTCACTTATTATACCTTAATGCTCACCATTAGTCTCTCATCGTCTATTGAAAGAGGACTATATCACTTTGAGAAGTGTATTAAAGGTTGTAAGCAGGGCAAGTGGTGTGCAACTTTCCAATTAAAAAAATACTTTGTCTGTTTAAAGGTAAAATCGTCCCATCACGTAATACTAGTAAGTGAATACTATAAGACGATAGTTGGACAGAGAAAAAAAACACAACTGATTGTGCTGACAACTGTCTACCCAATGGGAAAAAAACAAACACTTCTTTCACCAGTTGAGGAGTATATATAGGACAAAAACGTCTCACTCAGTACAGTGAATAAATAATAATAATAATAGTAATAACAAGTAGGTGAGGAAACAAAACTACACTCACATACACGGAAAATTATAATAAATCAAATAGATTTTAAAATATTTAATAGGATAAAAAACAAGTGGTTGGTTGTCATTCATGTGAAAAAAGAAGGAAATAAACAAAGAAATCTATTCCTGTTCATCATCAATTTATGATCGATAAAACATGAGAAGATGAGAAGAAATAAATATTATATAAGCATAACTTTTCAGAATAAAAAGTATTGCACAATATACAAAGAGAATTTCATTCATTAAATGTTTATTGGCTGACAAAAGAAAAACACTTCCTGTTAAAATTGTTGGATAATTCATCATAGTTGGTGAAATGTATTATTCATTCAGGAAAGGTTTGGATAACTGGATTTGTGTCCAAAGTTAAAAATAAAACTCTTTAATAATTAATTATCTTGAAGAAAAGGAGGAAGAAAAAACAACTTTAAATCAATCAACTTCTGACAGTGAAGAGGATTTCGGGTAATACAAAGAAAGAAAACCTTCATTAGAAACATCTTTGACAAGGAGAATATCATGTCAACATGAAACACACTTGACAAGTTCTATAATGACCTCTCTGAACCCGAAGTATTCAATTTTGTTAGACCAATAACGCAGGTTCATGTCATAAGTATAAGAAAAATGCGGGTAGAATAATGATTGCCAGCCAGCTACGTGATCCATGAGTCGATTTCCGGCTGACGAATACCTAAATCCGACACCTAGAAGGTAATAAGTCCAGAAAAGACGTACAATTAGTTGGTTATGAGACTAGCAGCCCTACACTACTATAGAGCAAAACAAACACCACCACCAATTGAAACTTCAAAGCTGCTTAGGAGGCCTATGTTCCTCTCAGAAGGCATAAGGAATGAAAAAGCTTTCTAATAAGAAATGTCATAGGTATACTTGGTCAAATACTATTTTCCAAAAAGAAACAAAACTCACTCCGATATAACTGGGTTGCATGACTTATCAGTGTACACAGAGTTGTAGACTACTAATTTCCATCATTACAGTAAACAATTCACCGCTATTCAATATGCTAAGTGCATTGGTACTGTATTATTTGAATATTTCATCTTCCGAAAGGAAGTACAGTGAAAATATTTCGATACTAATGAAATCATATGCTCATATATATATTAGCAGACTATGTGGATGAAATAGATTAGTGAAGCATAAAGAAGACATGTTGCACTGAATAGTTTGTAACCGCACTACTCACATATTGATTGATATTTTATTTAAAATACGAGGACAAAAAGCACTCTTGAGGAAAGTTAAAAACAGAATTAACATGAGATGACTGAGACCCAATACATTTTGGCGATCAAAGTGAGTTGTGGCATCAAGTTTATGTAGTTTTTAACTAATAGAAAGGATTAACTGATTGGTTGTTGTCATCCGGGTGATAAGAACTGATAACTGCTGACTCTCTTTGTGATAAGGTGTGGGGAATAGTTCATAATGATGCAGATGTAGTTGCTTTTTATCGTCTTCCACATCCTGAAAATCTCGACTAATCTTCAAATTAATTAATTTTCACTGTCACGCAGACACACACATGTTTGGCTATTTATCAAGTATTCTTCTACTGCTATTCTCATTTTTTATGTGCTTTATCAATGTATGACAACTTGAAGTGATCCCATTTTTGTGCAAAATTATACACTGATCTATCAGTTAATAAGTCAGGAGGCATTTTAGCAATATATGCTGCTATTCTTACATCTAAAAGTTTATTATGTCTTCATTTCACCATTAATGTAAACTAAGGACTACTGGAAATGTATCTCTTGGGTCCGATCCACAGTAGGACTAAGGAGGTGACCACTGAGCGCTGATGTCCGTCAAGGACGAAGTTTGCATTGAAAATAATAATTAATCAATAAAAAACATTTCTTGCAGCATAAACCAAATACAGACTGATGCTGAGGTGCGAAAAAGAATGAGAAAACAAACAAGCAATTGAGAAGTAAGCGTCTGATAAATATAACTTTATCAAATGTTGGTTAGCAGGGATTTGATTGGCTAGAAGTTTGATCACGGGCCGACATCAGTTAGGGAACAATAGGAAAACCTGGGAGTACTGGAATACTGTTTCGTACTAGTTTGGGACTCTTCAGTAGTACAAGCCCACTGGAGGTTGAACCTAGGACCTTCCGGTTACAAGGCGAACTCGTAGACGATTCAACCATTGGGACCCGGATCCAAAAGCCCATGAAATCCGCCTTCTGACAATTCCCGGCACATATAGCGCAGCTACCAGCCAATGTCATAGGTGAGTAACTGACTTTCTTATCTGACTTGGTGTACCCTGCCGGTTACAAATTCGCCGCAAGGTAACTTCTTGTATAGAGCCTATCATTAGTCAGCATCAGTCTAAATAACAACGACTAAAATATTATAATTTTTAATAAATCTAAATACAGAGAGATAAATAATTTAATTGGACGATATCATGTTTCAAAATAATATAAGAACTAAATATTTTTCAAGATTTATAGAAATTAAAATGTAACGAGGTCAAACATTAAACAAAGTGAAAAATTGGTAAGATTTAATTGAATAAACATTTTGAATTGTAAACAAAAATAATCAGAGCTTAAACAATGAACAGTGAAACAAAGTGTCAGAGTTTTTGAAGATATAGGTCGATAAACAGGTTGTCTACACCATACATAAATATACTGAGATTGTGCACGTCTTTTTATAGGTTAAAACTCATGACGGAATTTTAGAAAATTCCATTATACTCAAACGTGACACACAAAAATAATGATTAAATGTTTCAGAAGAAGAACTTAATACACACACTACATCTCCGCTGATTCACTACTACAATAGCACGAAACAACTATCGCGTACACTTCATTAAAAAGCACCTATCAATGAGACATATAACTACTCAAACCAACAAAACGATTTTTTTTATACTTTTGCATTCTGAGTTAACAAGCAGTGGGTTCAAAGCTTCGAGGTTTCAATAGAAGTGTTGTTGCTAGCCTCACGCCAAACATTCTTTCTTTTCAATGTTTATTATCAGCCAAACTAGAGGAGGTTTATAGGAGTGCATCAGTCGGGAGTCGAATCCCAACCTCCTGAGTGGTTGGCAAGCATCCCTACCATAGAAAAATGAATAAATTTAACATAATTTGCCTTACTAGGTAATGAAAGCTTCACAAGTAAATCATTCAACTCAAAGAAAGAAACTACACCAAAATCATCCACCTGAGTTATAAATCTCCATTATATCTAAAATGTGACAATATATATACATTATGGATTAGACGGTTGGAGGCAATCGGCCACAGGAGACCTTGGACCTAGGTTTCGTCCTGCCGATTGCCTCCAACCATCTAATACCATCAAATCAATGTGCACCGTGATGGCGAGCTACCTAGAATGGTGGTCACATTACAATCTGACTGATAGAATTCAGTCTACACCAATCAGAGGACTAGACGCATCACACTAGTTACTAGTGTCAAATCAAAATACATTATGGATACCAGCTAATTATTATGGGTACCATAAACACACCAACCGAATCATTACATAAAAT